GTGACCGTGGGCAGGCACTGACTTTTCAGTGTCCACCTCATTCYGAATGACAGAAGATATACAACACGGTATTCCCAAAAGATGTTAAACAAAACCCAGCTTAAAGGTACTTAAATTTGTTGCCTAAAACAGAATATGGATTTTTTTTTTTAACAGTAACAAAATTTTATTTGTGTCTTCAGTAAATAATTTAAGACTTCTTTAAAGTTCTTAGATTCTTTTTACAATTACTTTTTACCACTACAGAGTCCACTGAACTTCAGGCCTTTCAAAATGTGTTTCCTTTTAATACCTGTAAATCTATCACAAAAAGATATTCTCTCTAGTCTCAGTTTCAAGGCAATGATTTGGACACTTATAGGTGTACTTTGTTTAGTGTCACCTATGGTGTAGATTGGATAGATTTTGTAAAAGATAGCATTACTTCTAAAGAAACATACAATTTGACAAGCTATTGCATTTTACCTTCATTCTATTGCCATATTTTTCATCACCCTCATTGTTTTCCAACTGTCACTAAATTGTTCATTTTCTTAGTCTGCCACATTTGTAGACCTATTTACTGTTTATAAAGCAATATGCACTTACAGGTTTTGGAGATGGCTTGGGCTCCGAGGGTCGCATGTGCAAGTGGGTCATCATTGCTTGAAGACGTTCGCGCTCTTTAGAAAGCTGTTAAGAGTGAGTGAGATCAGAAGCATTTTAGAAATGACTGATACAGCTATTTTATTGCAGTGATACATCTTATCATTGAGCTTGTCTCAGTGTAATGATTCCTGCATATAAAAGTCTATGTCAGTAGAAACTTATCTGAGAGGAAATGCAACTTTGGGCATGGAAAAAAAAAAAAAAAACTTTTATAGCCTTTCATATGTTAAAAGGTCAGAGAAAACAAATAACACTTCATCTTTTTGTCAATAAGAGAATTGAGGTCACAGTTGCCTCGACAGTAACAAGTTACTAAGACCATAAATTAGAAGGCCCATAGTGTCTCTTTAAAGTCCTGTGGACACTGTTAGCAATGGACTAGTGCCAGCAGCTGTGAAGGGGTGAAGGGTCCTCAGAGCGCAGTGCCTGCCAGGATTGTCTACACACTTCATCCTTTCCCACCGAGGTCCAGTTAGTGCCCCCTGCAATCTGCCATCATCAATCTAATTCAATAGAGTGACAGAGACCAGGCAGTGTGAAACGCTGAACTCTGCCACCGAGGCGGCATCTACACTGCACTGGGTCTCATTACAACTGATGGACCTTACTTTACTATCAGTCAGACAAAGCAAAAAATGGCATAATTGGTCACACTGCAAGCTAAATCTTCAGTTGGACTGTTACATTACAGCATAGYCTTCGTAAATTGTAAACAGTTCTTAAGAAACCCTCAAACTGGCTTTAAAAAACATTAAGTGTTTCTAAATCTCTTGCCCAGCTGATACAATTTTCATATTGCACGCTGCATAAATCTTTGCATTTTCAGATTCAAGCCAATTACAAAACTTAAAAAAAAAACAAGAAAAAGTGCTTGCAATACATATCTCATCTCTAAAAATATCAGAATGTATGAGAAAAAATCCCACATGAAAATAAGATTCTAGTGAYGTTGACTTTGGATACCTACATAAGGACGGCTACATTAGCTGACTCCAGAATCTCTTTGGTGTATAAGGCTATCATTTTTTGGAAAGCTCTGTATTCCTCTTTGTACTGATTCAACTCCAACCAAAACCACGCCAGTAGACGGYGATTGGGCTAGGCARAACAACTTACAAGTAGTTTAGAACWATGAGGGACTACCTGTGTTTCTGCAGAGTTTTGGATGCACTGGACATAATTTGGTCAGTATATCTTTAATTAAACAACACTGGAAGCGAAGAGGGGAAAAAGACTTCTTAGGTTTTATATTATAGGTATGACACTTAACAGACATGCTATTTGTMATAATGTAAATCCCTAAGAAAAAAACTAAGATAACATTAGCCTGTAAATCTCCTAAAAGAAACTAGAGCTTTGCCTGGGTTTAAAAAAAAATCACTTCAAGGGGATAAATGTTATTATTGTGCTCTCTCCTCACTGTTTTGGTTTCCAGTGTTAAAATGCAAAAGAAACAGTTTCCTTGGTCTTTAAGAAGAACAAGAATTCTTAGGTGAGCAACAGTGGGGAGACAGGATGGTAAAAGGCAAGGAAGCTAAAAGTTGTTTATTCCATCTTCTCTATCATGATCTATAGAGCAAACAGGAAAAAAATCTCAGTCCCTGACTGTGCCCTTCGGACTTCTCCGTACCTTTCCACCTTCGGACTTCTCCGTACCTTTCCAAAGGAGGCAGGATTGGAAAATGTGGATACACTGTGAACACCCACATAGATTTGGAGGAAACTGCATGGTGTAGGCACAGATTGTGGAACTTCTTGGCTGATGGAGTTTATTCCAAGCCTGTGATGGAGACTAAACCCTAGCAAAGGGTTGTTTCAATGCCGGGACACCCCAAGGGAACTCTGTCCTTCTTCCCAAGCAGGACAGAGCATTCATATATATGCACTGACCCCTAATGGTTAGAACCAGCACTGGCTGAGTTAAGGTAACATCAACTAATGCTTCAGTTGAAGTCTGAGGAAACSGTAAGCCAGCGAATGGGAGGTGTCAGAAGGACTTCTGGGATATGGGACACCTTTTGGATGGGGAACTAGGTTGGAAAGATGTCTAGAACCAGGGCAGAGGATGCAGCTGGGGTCTTCTCCCAGACGCATCTGCTGTGGGAGCTGGAGGGACTCCCTGCGTGGGTCTGAGGCATCGTTTTGGGCGGAGATGCAGCCTTTTGAGTTGTCCCCTGCAACGCCTTCTCCTGCAGAACAGCACGGCCAAGAATCTGGTCAGCATGGGAGGAAGGCAGAGGGGTCCTGACTCAGCTCTTCAGGAGGGGCAGGCGGCTTGGATCCCCCCTCTGCTCCAGGGACCGCATTTTTCATTCATGATAAATGGCACTGGGGTCTTAGTTCAAGCAAAATACAGGAGACAGTGCTGATGTTAGATAATTATTGCATAATTTATAATGTGAGAAATCTTAAAGTAAAAAAACCTACTTGTTCACGAGTATCAACAAATTTCATGCAAGAAACATACAGCTTTAAGCCAGAATCATTAAGACAAGTGTTTTCAATTTAGTTTAAATTAATAGTAAATAAGTAATAAGATAATACATCCATGTAACAAACCTGTATTTCTAGCTGCTGAACCACTTGCATCTGCACCCGACACTGAGCAGTGCTTCTGTCATCCAATGCATGTTCATTGTTAAGGTGCCTAGTGAAGAAAGAGAGCACTAATGAGAGAGTGGTAAGATGAGGAAAATTTCTCTTTCAGTCCATTTTTCTCTCCTGTGCGTATRGCTTCCATTAATTTCAAGGGGAGTTATGTGAAAAAGTCTAGTTAGAGTGGGTCGGAGAGGCTACAAAAAATGCAAAATAGCCAAATTGATGTTAGTTCTTTTAGTTCTACACACCATTTCTCCATGATGACTGCCAGATGCCCTGTTCCTCTCTCCCGGATCACCTAAAAGCCAATGTAAGTGCTTATCAATATTTGGTCATGTCACTGAGCTGCTCTGCACTCCTTGTTGGTGCAGACGAAGACAGTCACCTCATAAACGATTCTTCCAAAGACAAATTGCAGCAAGGCTCTGCGAGGGGATTTGGGATTATGCCAAGTGTGCCAAACAAAACCACTGTCTGCAAGAGGGGAAGGACCCGTGGGGGCTGCTCTCCATAAGAAAACCACAGCTCGGACAGACCCACATGACTGTGCCCCAAATGTCTTACTGGAGCAGAGCTCTACGGAGCTCATTTCCTTGTGCTTTTGAAGGAGAGGGATGTCAGATCATTCTCTTGGCATCAAAAAGGAGCCTTCTGAAGCTTCAGCTTCAGCTTGCTCTTGCTCCACCAAGAAGAAAATTTAGGGAGCTGGCTAAACATGAAACGGGGAGAGAGGAGATTTGCCTCTGGATGTGACCTTGCTGGCTAATTCACCACAGGCAAGAGGGTAGGGCCCACACTCACAGGCAGCCAAAGGAACTGCACAATCACACCATAGAGGAAAGGTATCTTCCCGTTTTGCTTTTTGGCAGAATTTTTTGAGGACTAATTGATCCCTGACCTGTGGGAAGAATTTGGTCTTTCGAAACAGTGAGAGAACAGAGGGCACTGTGTCTCACTTTTACTATAATTTGTATTGTTAATTTAAATTATGGACTGACATCACTGCTTTAGAACAAAATGATAGGGTTTGCAGGTGAGTAAAATATGACAGTCAGGTTCTGCTGTTCTTGCAAAAGGCATGGCTGGGAAAAAGAGATAAGTAATTATGAGTGCTTTTGTTCACTGCTAATAAAATGGTTTGGYACAAATTTGAAATCATCTAGCAGTGTAACTGTAACCTGCATGGTAGTTTATGCTAAGTTCAAGCATCACCAAAGAAAACAGATTTCCTTTATATATTGTCATAAAACTTGCCATAAAGTCATTTACTTGTCATAAAAACTATTTTTTTTTTCTAAGGGACTGACCTCATCCCCCCTTGYTGAATGCAAAATTGCACCATCAGTTTAAAAATCAGAATTGTTCAGAATATGCCATTCACTCATCTTCGGAAATTTTGATTCAGAAGAATTCCTCAATTACCCATGCATGACAGCGTGTGGCATATTAATAGAGAGGCATATTATTATAGCTTAATGTTTCCAGGTTATCGCTTGCAAAGCTGTCTGAAAACGACCATAAGATGGAGGCTACCTCTGCATCATCACCTCTACTGCCCATACACATCCCTGGGCATCCATAGGTACGTACRCCTACCTGTGTATGCAGACAGCAGCAAATGACAGTATGCAATGGTAAAGGTAGAAAATATCTGCTGGCCTAAGCTTGAGGTGTCTGCATGCTCMTGATTATTCATTAGCTATTACCCCACCATATGTTTGCATAACACCTTACAAAACAGACACAGACACAGT